AGGAAAGCTAAAATCCATGCTCAAGCTTCCAAGAGTCCTACTTCCACGATAGATTTGCAGTCTGGGTCCTCCCAGTCCCCTGCTCCTGTACAAGTTTACATGAGGCGAAGACAATGCAGCAGCCCTGACCTGGAAGAAAAGACAATAATTAGAGCACCTGGACACTATGAATCCATTCAGGTTCATACCCTATCAGAGAGTGACTCTGAAAGCACTCAGAATGAGAAACGGGCTAAAGTGAGAACCAAAAAGACCTCTGATTCAAAATATCTAATGAAGGGAATGACCAATGGAGTTAGAAAACACATAAAGTTCTACACAAACAGTAGGACCACAATAGAGAGTCCATCTAGGGAATTACCAGCCCATTTAAGAAGGAAGACTATTGGAGCAGCTCAGACAAGTACTGCCTCCTTAAAAAGACAACCTAAGAAACCTTCCCAACCCAAGTTCATGCAACTGCTTTTTCAGGGCCTAAAGTGGGCATTCCAAACAGCATACAGAGTTTTAGCTTTTGTTCGGCAGAAGTCTGGGGACAGGACAATCCCAGACAATTTGTGGGCAAGCAGAAACTGTTCTCCAAAGCGAACGCCAGGGATTACTGTTTACCTAGCAATATCAAAAGAGACAGGAGGTCAGCTGACAAGCTAAGGTCAGCAGGCTCAGCCATTAAGCAGGAGGACATATTGTGGGAAGGGACAGACCAGTGCAGATCAGCTCAACAGCCAAGAAGAGCTCACTGTTTCCAACCCAGACCTCTTGACTGCCCAAGCCCACAGGTTCCCAAAGTGATATCACTTTCCAAGCTGCCTCAGTGGAGCAGCCTCTGGGAACTTTTCAAAAGGACGGTAGTAGCAGATAAAAGAAAAATGAAATCTCCAGCCAGGAGTCTAAGAACTTACCCCCACACCAGAGTTCAGGCCCAAGGAAGAATCCTACCTGGCTCCCCTGTGAAGAGCACCTGGCACCGACACCTTAAAGAGAAACTCACACACGAGGAGCAAAACCACCCCAGCTTCTATAGGGAGAGAGCCCATCATAACCACTCTTGGAGAAAACATCACAGTCCCTTTGAGAGAGGCCATTGAAGTCCCTCTCAGAGAAATCATCACAGTCCCCTGGAAAGGAGCCGTCACAGTCCCTCGGAGCCATCACAATCCCTTGGATAGAAGATTTCTTGGAGAAATCATTGCAGTCCCTCTCAGGGAAATCATTGTAGTCCCCTGGAGACGAGTCGTCACAGTCTCTCTAAAAGGGGCCATCACAGTCCCTCTGAGAGGAGCCATCATAGTCCCTCTGAGAAAAGCCATCACAGTCTCTCTGAGAGGAGCCAACGCAGTTCCTGTAAGAGGAGATGTCACAGGTCCTCTGAGAGGAGCCACTGTACGATTTCTGAGAGAACTCACAGTTCCTCAGAGAAGAGCCACCTCAGTCCCTCTTAGAGGAGAGGACACAGTTCCTCTGAGAGGAGCCATTGCAGTTCCTGTGAGAGTGCCCATCACGGTCCCTCTGAGATGAGGCCAGAGAGGCCCTCCGGGAGACACCATCGCAGTCCCCTTAAGGAGGGACTCAAGCACAGTTCCCCTGGGGAGAACATACAGCCATATTTGTATAGAGATTTCAACAATGAAACAATTATCCTCGGGACCACATACAAAAATCCCCAAGCAGGCAAGTGTGGAGGCCTGAAGCTACTCACAGAGGCAAGATCCACCCCTATTATTCATTTTCTCCCTCAAGTCTTCACCGTGCTGCCCTTTCCGGGCTTCATTCATGCTCAGCCATTGCCTCCAGTTCCTGCGCCCCCAGCGTAGAAAGCCTTCCATGTCTCTCTACAGGGGAAGGCATTCGAGAATGGGTCTGTAATTTCTCTAAGATCAATAAGGCGGCAGTAACTGATCTCCCTGTGCATCCAGACTGAGATCACTGGGCGGGTGGGTGGGGAAGGCAAGGTGGTGGGACACAAGTTGTACAGAGTTTCGGAATGAGAGCAGGGGTTTTAATGCTGGGCAGAGGCTCCAAGCTCTGCCCCTTCATAACAGACCCCACCCACAGGTTCCTAGGTCCTGCATCAAAATCCCAGTGGGGTGGGATCTCAGAGGAATTGGAGAGTGGCTCCTCACGTGATAGCCTTGGGCTGGCCCTCATGACAACACGCAGCTGCAGCTGCCGCCCTAATAGTCTTAAAATCCCTCAAAATCACAGGCTATGCCCCATTTACCCTCTAGCTCTCACAACCCCTAAAGTTTTCTCTTTACACCTCACACACTTACTTTCAGCCCCTCGCCTTCTCCACCTTTATGCAGTGGCCCCTACTACTTAAAACACACCTCAAAAAGTCTGTTTCTATTAGTTTCTGTCTAACTGTGCTCAAATTCACTGTACTCATTTACTTTTACATGCCCTGCTTTGAGTTGCCGGTTTACACTTTTCCTCCAGATAATTACAGCTGATATTTCACTCTTAATCTGGCTCCCATTCTCTGCTCAAACCCAATCTTGTTAATAAAAGTGGTTGCTTATAGACCACACGCTTCCTCATATACCATAAAAACAAAAGTTCTCCCTCCACACAGTTCCTCTAATACTGTCTTTCTCCTTCTCTTATTTAAACTCTGTGTTTTTCCAATTAATCTCTGAATTCCTACAAAATTGTATATAAGCGATAACCAATCAATATATAACAAATGCTCCTTCTAACAACCCAACAATACTACCCCTTTCCCCAAAATTTCCAGTAGTCTAAATTCTTCCCCATTTTTAGGTTTCCACCTCACCCCCAATCCCACTGGAAGAAGCCTTGAGAAACTTTGCCCGCACCCACCAAAACCTGTTATCACCCCCTCTTCTCTAATTCTTTCTCCCTGTATAAAAAGACAGGTGTGTCATGTCTCCATATGTAAGCCTGGAGCCTGAAAGTATGAAGTCCTGCTTGCCTCGGCTAATGTCTCCCACCCACTGCCTGCATTTGCCATTGTCCCTGATCACTCAGCTCCTGCTTCCTGAACAAGCCCCTCACCCAACCCTGCCATCTTAACTGTTCTTATGATAATGTAAATACCTCTCACCCATCCTGCTGTTTCACCCCCACCCTCCATTGTAACTGACTGCCCCTACCCCCCACCGCTGTAACTGAACTTACTCTGCAATACCCCCCAGCTGCCAAAAAGTACCCAAATCTATAAAACCAATTCCTATCCCACTGACCTTTGCTAATGCCCTTTTTGGCCTTAGCCCACCTGCATCCAGGTGAATAAATGGCCATGTTGCTCATGCAAAGCCTGTTTGGAAGGTCATTTCATTCAAAGCACCAGTTTTTCAACAAAGTTAACATCGGAAGAGTTACAAGTGGGGACTGACTTCTCTAGGTTCCTACGCAGCTCTTCCACCTCACTTATTTGAAGCTCTGTCAAAACAGCATCTGAATTAGGAGGACTTTGGGATTCTGGGATACAGAGAGTATCCAGAGCTTTGGATGTAAAAATCCTTGGGACAGATATTTTGCAGCCTGAAGAGACCTATCTAGACCCTACTATGATGCAATCTTTAACTCCTCCCTTGGCCCTTCATAATCAAAGCTCTGAAAAGACAGCTAACATTGTGGAAAACCCATGCCCTGAGATTCCAGGAGTGGATGATCTAAAGAGAAAATTACAAATGGAGGAGCTAGACAACTCACTTCAGAGACATCTGCCACAAAGCTGGAGATCACTATCTAGGACATTCTGGGCAGATTCAGGGGCTCAAATATCCGTCATCAAGTCCTTCCTGGGCAGACAACACGACATCTGGGAGAGTCATGCCTGGAGGGAGCGACTACCAAGAAAATATCTCTCCAGTATGCTAATGCTGGGGGAATGTTTTAGGGACCACTATGGAAAGGAAGCTTTGTTCTCAAACATCTCTAGTAGAACAAGCCATTGTTAATCTTTTCGGAATGTATTTGGGATTCCAGCTGAACTGATGGAAGCTTCCCAGAGGCTGCCAGAGAAGGGTCCAGTTACTATTTCTCAGCCTTCAGTGGTCAAAAACTAACTGAGAGACATACTTCATATTACATTCATAAGAAAATAACGGCCTTAAAAATGTGGACACATCGCTCCACATCTTCCATAATACGGCAATACTCTGGGACGAGAGTGGGAATAAAGAAAACAAGCTCAAGGTTCAGTGGTATATCCCAAGAAGTCATTCAGCATACGCCTGTCACATGTGCCAGGGGGTCAGCTTCCTGTCCTGGTAAAGTCAGAGTCTTCCATCAGCATATTTTACAACAGAGAAGACCTTGTTCCAATGGAAGAAAGTGAGAACTCACAGAGTGATTCCCAAACAAGGATTTTGGAGTCCCAACACTCCCTCAACCAAATTATCTCCCTCAGAGTGACTTCTCAGAACAGCTCCAGTTGCTACAAGATTTGCAGCTAAAAATAGCAGCAAAACTCTTAAGGAGTCAAATACACCCCCCCCCCCCATGTGCCTCCGCCTCTAGCTTCAGGTCTAGTCCTAAAGTACCCTATCTGCCTACAGTGTGGCCGATGTTCAGGATTTAACTGCCATCATAAATTACAGACCACTTTGGGGCCTTATCTTCTGTTCTATCCACAGCTCCACCTTGTAAGCACTCCTGAAGGCCATGGTGAGATTCGGTTGCACCTTGGCTTTAGGCTGCAAACTAGGAAAACACCCCAAATCTCAAAGTGTCATGAAAGAGATAGACACGTCATACGGAGCAGAACTATGTCACCATCACAAAGGAAAGCTAAAATCCATGCTCAAGCTTCCAAGAGTCCTACTTCCACGATAGATTTGCAGTCTGGGTCCTCCCAGTCCCCTGCTCCTGTACAAGTTTACATGAGGCGAAGACAATGCAGCAGCCCTGACCTGGAAGAAAAGACAATAATTAGAGCACCTGGACACTATGAATCCATTCAGGTTCACACCCTATCAGAGAGTGATTCTGAAAGCACTCAGAATGAGAAACGGGCTAAAGTGAGAACCAAAAAGACCTCTGGTTCAAAATATCCAATGAAGAGAATGACCAAGGGACTTAGAAAACACATAAAGTTCTACACAAGCAGTAGAACCACAATAGAGAGTCCCTCTGGGGAATTACCAGCCCATTTAAGAAGGAAGGCAATTGGACCAGCTCAGACAAGTACTGCCTCCTTAAAAAGACAACCTAAGAAACCTTCCCAACCCAAGTTCATGCAACTGCTTTTTCAGGGCCTAAAGGGGGCATTCCAAACAGCATACAGAGTTTTAGCTTTTGTTGGGCCGAAGCCTGTGGACAGGACAATCCCAGACAATTTGTGGGCAAGCAAAGTTGTTATCCAAAGTAAAACGCCAGGGACTAATGCTTACCCAGCAATATCAAAATAGACAGGAGGTCAGCTGACAAGCTAAGGTCACCAAAAAAAAAAAAAAAAAAAAAAAAAAAAAAAAAAAAAAAAAAAAAAAAAAAAAAAAAAAAAAAAAAAAAAGACAGGACTGTTAAAGAAGGCTTTGGAGACAAAGGTAAGGAAACTGACACTTGGCAGCAATTAAATCTCTAAAAAGCTTAAAAAAAGAAAGTGGGCCAGGTACTGTGGCTCATGCCTGTAATTTCAGCACTTTGGGAGTCTGAGATGGATCACTTGAACCTAGGAGTTCAAGACCAGCGTGAGCAACACAGGGAGATCCTATCTCTACAAAAAAAATTAAAAATAAAAAACTTAGCCACGTATGGTGGCACATGCCTGTGTTCCAGCTACTCAGGAGGATGAGGTGGGAGGACTGCCTGAGCCAGGGAGACTGAGGCTGCAGTGAGCCGTCATCACACTACTGCATTCCAGCCTAGGCAAGAGTGATGCTTTGTCTCCAGAAGGAAAGGAAAAGAGAAGAAAGGAAGGAAGGAGGGAAGGAGTGGACAAGTGAATAGACGATATGCACAAATGATATGCATTCCAGTGTGTTTATGCCATAGAAAGGAACACCATGTGGTCATTAAAAATGATGATGTGTAGCTACACCTACTGACAGGGAAAAATATTTAGACTATATAGCTAAGTAAAACAACAGCATTCCAGAACAGCATTATATTGTGCAATTTCGGTCCTTATGTCACCAAATGCAGGTTCAGATGCTTGCCGCTGGCATAGTCCAATTAACAAGAGCGAGGTCTGGTAGAAAGAAAGTGATTTTATTTTCCAAAACTAGTAAAGGGGACAGGCGCGGTGGCTCACGCCTGTAATCCCAACAGTTTGGCAGGCTGAGGCAGGCAGATCACCTGAGGTCAGGAGTTCGAGACCAGCCTGGCCAACATGGCAAAATCCCATCTCTACTAAAAAATACAAAAATTAGTTGGGCGTGATGGCGGGCACCTGTAGTCCCAGCTACTCGGGAGACTGAGGCAGGGAGAATGGCTTGAACTCAGGAGGCAGAGGTTGCTGTGAGCCGAGATTGCAGCAGTGCACTCCAGGGTGGGTGACAAAGCGAGACTCTGTCTCAAAACAAACAAACAAAATTAACAACAACAACAAAAAACTAGTAAAGGGAACGCAGCCAGATTCCCATCTAAAACAACCACTTCAATTTTTGAAGTGAAGGCAGGGGTTTAAAAAGGGAAAACTGGGTAAGCAAGACATTCAAGAATTGTGGTAAGTACAATGTATCTGTGTCTTGTTCTGGTGGCTATGTTGGGTCCCAGTCCACCTGGCACATGGGCTGGCATCATCTCAACAATGGCCAGGTTGTTAACTAGCCACCTTGAAGTCATCGCTGGAATTTTGCAGCTGGGTCTCCAGGCTTGGCCTGTCTCAAGATTAGTCTCTGGAACTTCTAAGAAGCACAATAATTGGAAACTAGTAAACAGTTAGATAAATGTGAAGGGAGTATGTACCGTGAGAAAGGAGGGATGTGGACTCTATTTCAAG